CAGTTGAACATGCTTCTTGACATTCTATTTGATTAGATGATAATAATTGAGTAGGTATAACAATTAAATCCGATTGTTCATTTTTATTTTCAGATATATTTTCAATAGTACTTGTATCAAATATGAATGTCCAAAGCATAATAATAATAATGAGCAGAAAACGCCCGATAAACATTACTACTTGAGTGTTAAACGCATAGCCTTCGTTAGATTAATATAAAAAAATTTTATGGACGATTTACTTGTCAACACCATTGAGGTATTTCAATAAAACTCGTCCTAGAATAGAAAAAAAAAACAAAAAGAAAATTATATATGTACATCAAAATGACAGTTAAGCTGAAAGAAACTTCAACATGATTTTTTTGTTAGTTACAAAAAAAAAAAAATAGAAATACTTTTTTTTTTTTGTTTCAAAAGAATATATATTAAACGTTATGTCTTATATGACTTTAATGTATATTAATCAACTTGCAAATATTAATACGAATGAAATCTCATGTCTACATATAGTTGTCCTTAGAGATAGCAAGAAGGAAAAGAATATTTACTATGTTCGAAATGCTTACAATCAAAGAAGAATAGTTTTTTATGATAAAAAAAAAACCTCGACTTGTCGAGTATTTATCGTACTTAAAATAAATCATAAATACATATTTATATTTTTTTTTCAACTAAGTTAAAGAAAGAAGAAAAAAATCGACAGTATGTTACTATTGATATCCTTGAACTAAAAATTTACTTGTTTCGTCAATGAAAATACTAACATTAGTTTTGTTCTACATATCACATAATTAAATAGCATGAAATGAATAAAACTTTCGTTCTTGGATGAAATAAGTAGAGCGTCTTAAGAAGTCAAGTTGGGAAAAAAAAACGAATGGATGACCATCTTATGTACAAATAATTGCCATACCATACATTTATGTTCCTTTCTTTTTCTGCTAGTTATTGTCTTAGACACTACACATACGTCTTATCTGTAGCTAGAACTAATAACAACAACAACAGACACAAATTCATCCATCATCTCTATTATAGATAGATGTTGATAACCACAAAGAAATACCAAACAGAGTATGAAGACGACAACACCTGATTGGTCTTTTTTTATGGTTATAACTAATATATTACTGTTCGATTGTGGTTATTGATTCAATAAAAAATACCTCGGAAGCTGATGATTAGTTATAGTGTTCGTTAATAACGAATGTTGTCAAAGATAAGGATGAATATATATATATATATATACGTAACTGCATGTGTAAGACACTATTATTGGTTTTTTTATATTCGAAGAACAAAAATCATACACAAAAAGAAAAAAAAACGAATAACATCCAACCAGACAAAGAACGAAAACATGACGAAGATACTGAAGAGAGAAAAAAAGGTGATTGAAAAAAGAAACGAAAGAAAAAAACAAGAAGACTATACACATAAACTTTATTCTAAATATCTGATTAACTAAATCCATAGATAGAAATGATAGTCAACGAACTCTTAATCGTAAAACAATGTTCATGATTAATCTTTTTTTTTCTTTTTGTGTACATAAAAAAACATGTAACGATGAAGAAAAGAATACAGCATATGGTTCCAGTAATGAAACGTTGTCGTTATGGTTGATTAAACAAAACGACATGTTTCATAAGAATAAAGACGTGAGCAAATGTCATCGTCTTTATTTCGATAGAATTAGAAAAAATATAAAAACATAATAATAGATATCTATTACGAAAATAACAAAAGCTAATGGTTTTTTGCTGTTCTTCAATCTCGATGGATAGATTTTTGACGACGAATTTTTTTATGTAAGAGAAAATAAATATAAAATAAAAAAATTATATTTATTATCGTACATCATCACTGAATAATTATTCTATACAGATTTACTAGACAAATCATAACCATTAGATGAATACTCACGTCAACAGACAATATTTATTCTAATCTCTTCTTTACAGATGTATATGAATAAGTACTTGTTACGAGCAATAGAAACGAAAAAAAAACAAACAATAAAAGGAAAATATTCAAACATTTGTGGCAACAATGATTGCGAGATTTCTTTGAAGAATGCAAAGATTCTCTCACCCATTAGAGCCTTAAAATTTACTTTGCTTCCCATTGACGACTATTTCTGTCATAGGTGAAATTTATCGAATCAGAAACAGTGCTTTTGGGAAGATTCGAACAAGAACATGTCGACATATGAAGCTGTTCGACTGAAATATATTCTCATTACTAATGGTAAAAACAACGTGATTTCAAGGTCTATCTTCAATGTACTATTGCATATGTCGCATTTGTTTATTTTAAAAAAAAGGCCTTACCAATTAGAATAATTATTATTTATTATTCTCTAACTTATCATTCATTTCATGAAAAAAATTATTTTCTATACTTTGTATTAAGCTATACAAAAGTGTAAAAATGATCAATAGTCTTCATTTCTTTTTCACTCATTAATACAATGTTTCTAATAAGGTCATTATCCAAGGAATTCTTTTATCGCTTTTCACGTTTATTATCTGCTTGTCAATTTTTAAAAATTTTTTATGTTAATTGTGCAGTAGCTACCAATCAGTAATATTACAGAAAGATATCATCTTTTTATTTGAAGAAAAAGAATATATATTCAACGCTCACCTTTTCATTTTTATCTCAAATGAATAGCGGACTTTTTCAAGGCAACAGCTGTACATTAACATTAACGTTGTCTCTGACACAAACAACATCAATAACTAATGTAGTTTTCTTGATCGTTCTTCTTTCTATGCATACGTCTACAGAATTGAGTAACACAACAAACCTGTCCTCTGTATGTAGTATTCGTTCTTGACTGAGAGCAACCATTATGGATAGCGACGGCCTCGACACATACGTGTCGTCTTCTGATAATAGTAGCGATGATGGAACTAAGTGAAGGGTGGTAATGGTTGAAGGCTATAAAATATGACTCATTAGATAAAAAAAAAAACTAATACCAATGTTTTTTTTTTTTTTACATGGTCGAGATGCCTGCCATTCACAGAACGAGCTAAAGGAAAAAAACGAAACAACAATGTTAAGATAAAGAATAGATAAATCTAGAAGAAAGAATAACAGATCTAGTATTTCTTCTCATGTGATAATTAGTAAAATAATCTTAAATTTCCTTACGAAAACATCTATTTGTTGATGGATTGTATTTTCAGAATATTAAAAACAAATATTTCAAGGATATATATATATATATATATATTTTTTTTTTTGGTTTTTATGTATATTTTGTCAAATGAAATAAGTATTAAGAAAAAGTACCAATCATTCATATAAAAAATAAAAACACTAACATCTCAGATTAAAATATATTATTCAAATGTTCAACCCTTATTGTTCTTTTTTAAAAATGAGCTAATGATTCATAACTATGTCCACCTGTTTGATTGAAATATTTTGTGAATGACTTGATTTTGAGCCTATATCATCATCTCAAGAAACCTGTTTATCTTCACGAAATCCTCTAGAATCATCACTTAATATTTTCTTGCTTTTATCATATGATATAAATTATTTTAAAAATTGATCATTATAGTATAATAAGTAAATTATTATTAAACTATGAAATATACGTTTTATGTGTCTAGATTATATTTTATCCAATACAATAGCTTGCACTTGGTAGCCTCCTTTCAAATAGCATCAAAAGGGCGGCATTAACCAATCATAAAAAGAAAAACGAACAACTGTAATTTATTTTGTTAATTTTATCGATTAAAAAAAAAAGTTTGGATCATAACGATTGATAATTTGTTTCAAAAAAATTTTTTGTAATTATCTCTTAGTTGTTAAATTGAAGTTCTACTTCTATTTATTTTTCTTCTCTTAAGATTTTAATAAGCATGTTTAAATCTTCAAGAAAATCTCGTATCATTTACTTATTATTTTAAATATTTTTTATAGAAATAAATATTCAAAGAATATTATTGTAATATTAGTTCAAAAATAGATTATGTTAAACAATGGCTTTCTATTTTGAAAAGAGAACCTATGATTTTTGTTTTTGTTTTCGATTTACTAACATAATATATTGGATAAAAATTGTATGCTAACTAATGGCTATTAGATAAATTATTAAAAAAAGTATTCAAGTTATTGATTCAGTATTAATCTAGTCATTAAAATATTTTGTGCACTAAAAAATTCAATATTTGAAAAAGAAAACGTCAATTTCGATGATGCTTAGTTTAATTTATATCATCAATATAACATTATATCTTCTAATTGATTGATTTGAATATTCATTTTATGTGTAAATCTATGGTTCTTAGCATAGCAAAGGAAAGCTAAATATCGATGGCAAATGTTTATGAGAACCAGTTATATACGGTTCCCAGTTCTGACTGATTGACTAGGCATATATTCAATGTTTTTGCATTAATCTCAATTAATCCTTGTTCTATGATTGCTAATCATCTTTTTATTTTGCAGCAGTGGATATGACCAGAAAGCTATTTTAAATATTTAAAAACAAATTAATTTGAACAGAATAAGTCAAATTCTTAGTATCCCTCCGTCTATGCTCACTCATACTTAATAGATAGGCTTACGCGACATCTACCGATGTTGTCTTCTCAGCTATGACGTTGTTGTACTAAATTATGGATAGATCCTTTGTAATTGAACCATTTCATTCTATTGAGAAATAAAAATACGTCTAGACCGTTCTGAGTTCTCTCCACCACTGACGAGAGAATCTCTTCAGATGTCCTCTCATGATGTGAATAATTTTTTTGCCGATTGATACTATGTAATGTTTTTTTTTTGTTTAAATTCTAAAGGGATTCGTGCTTCTCTTGACATTTGGAGATAAGAAGCTTTTAAAACATGCTTGCTGTAGACACTATCCATACACAAGGAATTATATCTTGAAAACTTTATATCTCGAAGAGACTTTGCTCAAAACTTCTGATTTTTTTTTATGGAAGCTATTTTCTTGTCTAGATCATTAAACAATGAAAGAACTTGATTTACAATATGAACATGATCGTGATGATTATGAACAAATGGCACGTCTGTGGACAAAAAAAAGATTTTGTATATTAATTTTATTTACTTGTACAAGAAATAAAGGCATATGATTTTTTAAATAATCAAACTAGTAAATTCTTCAAATTTTTATTTTTCTTAATTGATAAATTTCATTGATTGTCAGTTATGTAATCACATAATAAATCATTCATTGATTTGAATACTTCAGTTGATAGAAATCTTTTTAAACAAGATTAATCATTAGACGAAAAATGATAAAGTATGCATTGAGTATATCAACATGAAACAAAAATCTTTCTATTTTTCTCTTACAACACAATGACGTATAAAACAACTGATCACCTTCAATATTATGAATAATTTTATTTCAATATCTAACAATTTTTATATAAAAAACTAAAGTAAATAAGCAATAGTAATCTGCCAAAACAGTTCAACAAGACGTTCATCCATTCATAAAATAATTATCTTCATCTGTTTTTCTATCTGTTCCTTCACCTGTATAGAAAAGCATTACAATTAAAACAAATGGTAAGGCACCAAGACAAAATTTAATATCTCAACTAATTATTTATTCAATAAAAATGACTACTACTAAGACTCTTATCATTTAAAAAAAAATTTTAAAGTTTGGGCATGGATGAAGAGACTCACATGCCACTCGCAGACCCATATATTCAGAGGTGAAGTTTCAAGTTAAAATTCTTTAATTATTTTATTTTCAAAACTACATATCTATCACTCAGATATCCGGGTATTGCTAGCAAAATTCAATAAAACAATCATAACTGTTGAATACTTGATCATATTTACCTGTCATTTCGAGGACTTCGTAGTCGTATCAAGACCTATTCTTATCGATAAATATGAATTTGTAACTCTCAACATAGTGTAGGCGATTGCAACGCAGATCATCGACATAATAATACAGCCACAGTAGCAGAAGAGAAATCAATATTTGAGCAACTATTCAACAGAACAAGCAGAAATCCTAATTACATTATTATGACGATAATATATTTTTACGTTGCAAGATTCAACTCGATCACTCATTGAATGGCTGAAAAATCGATGATTGACGAGTTAGATAAATTTCTATAGGTAATAGATGAAAATATTCATAACTCAGCTCCGAACTCCAGACAACTGAACCCTATTGGATTTTTACACTATTCACCAAAGTCTACAAACTGAATTTAGCCCTAATTAAAAAGTAATTGGACACCTGCGGATGTTCTCTGGTGAGAATGAGAGACAAGTCGAGAAGCATTTTAAACATAAAATAACTTTTTACTGTTCTAGCACACGCTTGCCTCTTCTCAGAAACGCGGTATGATGTATTACATGAATCTCAGTACTCTCACAGAACATCCAAAAAATATGAATATTGAGAAACCATTAAGTGCTGTGGAGAACATGTATCAATCAACCGAAGATCAAACGAGATCTTCATTTGCATGACTTTTTCTCTTGTCTTTCCAACGGATAGAAATATTCGGCGAGCTGTTCTCTAATGGAAAGTGAATCACTCTTGCCTTAATCCATCGTGAACGCATCTTTTTCACTCGGCCGACTGAAGCATATGGCAAAGCTTTCAAACGCATGGTCGAACCATTTATCGTTGGTCAAAACGTCAATGCGTTGATTACGATTCACCAGTTCATTTTGTGAGTATTTTATATGTTTCTCGCTCATCCATAGAGTAAAAACATGACGTTTTATCAATGCAACTCATGAGCAGAAGTGTTGTAAATTATTATAGTTGTTGCCAATAAAATCATCATATACTGTCATTCATAGCACAATTTCGTAACATAATGCTTTTCTACTTTTGTTAGATAACAGTTGTTCATATTTCGTATAGCCTCTATTAAAACTCACTTCAGCCCAACATTTTAAGGGTAGAGTGTGAGTGCGGGACGTTTCTTCATGCGCATCCACATCTAAATCCCAAAGCTCAAATGCTAGGGTTCAATTGTCCTGTTATCGTGATAATCAACACCATTCTGATGTATATACGTATGTTTAATGACATTTGCTATCATTTAGGAGATTGATCAGAAAACTTGCCTTACAAGATTGCGCGTCTTTCAAGTAGAAGATCCAGAGTTGCATCCACGTCTAGCTTAGATTTGGTTCAGTCATCTCTCTTATACTGTTTGAAGTTTGGTACATAGGTTGTCATGCGTATATGTGTGAACAGTCGTGGTAAAATATGTATTTTGCTTGTATTTTATTCTAGAACACACACAATACTATGCCTTCGTTGATCCTCAAGAATGTTGAACTCGGATAATTGCTTTGGTTAGAGTATTTCCTTTCGCAATCGAGTCGCTTACTCAGTTTGGCAAAGGAACTTATTCTTATATGATACAACAGGAAGGCTATACAGATAGAAAATATCAGACTATTTTATTCATAAATAAAAAAAATTAGAATGGTTCTTACACTTCAGTATTATTTTGAGGAAATTGATTGAAAAATATAGAGTTCGATATATTTGCTAACAATAAAAGCGTCTTTTTTACATGATTGTACATTTATCAAGAAAAGATTAGAACTTACCAGTGTGATAAAATGTAAGAGACATTCAATCGCAAGTCATTGATTACGATGCCTGATTCATGAATTTTCAACAAACTCTCGCCGGAAATGGCCCGTATTCTAAGCTGGTATGACAGTTGTCTACCATTTTAAATAGTTATGATATTTTTTTTAATATGCATTGCCTTAAATACTTGATAACATGATGAAGATCGATTAATCAAATACTGCTATACAAGATATAAATAGATAATAGTTACACGAAGTGAGATAAACGAAATGTTTTTACAAAAACAATCTGCTACTTTATTGTATTTTAAAAAGTATCTATTTGAAGACGTTACGTAAGAGATTTGTTCCGGATAAATATGTTTCAAAACATGAAGGTTTTCCATATTGCTATTATTTCATAAAAATATTATTTCTTTGAAGATTATTCGAGTCAAATGATTTCCTACTAATTGAAGATTGGACACAGATGAATTCATCCATAATTTATCTATAAATCTGAGTGAATTCTAGCTATATTAGACATTTTAGTATAATTCGTTGATTAATAGAAAGATGCTATCTCAAAAGTTCATGAAGATTATTCCGTGAATGGTTTTGCTAAATTTGCAATCATCCTGAACTCTTTTCAGAGTATTTACAGTTCATTATAACCTATCCGATGCACAGAGTTCCAATTGAAAAGTGATTGGATACGTAGAAACGTTCCCTTGTTACTCAAGTCTCAATAAAAACCCAAATTCTTTTAGTTTTTCTTTAGAATACTATGTAGTATTCATAGGTAAAAAAAAAATTTTTAATTTTAAAATTTAATATATTTTTTATTAGGTTTAATCACAGTTATAAATATTTTTATTGCTGTTATTTTACATCGTGTTTCTCATACATCATTTGATTGGTATATAGCTAAGGAAAAAGTGAATATAGAAAGTGCACAAATAGATATGATAAAAAAAGAACTTATATCAGTCAGATATTGTTATCAATCGTCACAAAATTCATCATTAACAACAGATACAAATCAAGCAATAAAACGACGTACAAGTGCACAAGTAACACGAATACTTTTAGCTATTACATTATCATTAATTATATTTAATATTCCAAATACAATCGTATTTCTTTTTACAAGAATTAATGATAGACAACTTTCATTACCTAGACGTCCATGTCTCGAAATTAGTGATAGTGATATTAGATTATATAAAAAAATATTTTATTCAACTGTTATACAAGATATATTATCAGATTTACCACATATTGTAAATTTTTTTCTTTATTGTTTAGCTGGAAAAAAATTTCGAAATATTTTTCTAAATGAAGTTTATGCTTGTTTTATTGAAACACATTCAATTAATCGAAAACAAAAACGTTTTACTGCGAATGGTAGTGTTTTTAATCCTAAATTAACCTATCCAGCAGGTCTTAATGGTAGTCAAAGACGAATATTATATCGAAATACTTCATTAAAATGTAAAAAAGCAACTAATACTTCATATAATACGTTAACAAATAAATTAACTTTCAATGATAAAAATCATAATTGTGTCGATACTAATGTCACACTCCACTGATCTTCTTGTCCTCTTTCATGTCTCTATTGTTCTTTCCTGTATTCATCTCTCTCTCTTCCTCTCTCTTACATAAGCGTGTGTTACATGTGAAGTAGCTAATAAACACCATTGCCCAGAGTGGCAGCAGGCTACTCAATCCAGTTTGTCGTTGCAACAATGAATTAAAAAATAATAATGATAAATTTTGTTCAACCAGATTATTGAACCTGTATTTTATTCACCAATATATTAATTAAGAAGAGATCGGCCAGAATACCAGATATCATGGCTGGAGAAAAAATTTCGATTTTGGATTTAATATTCTGAAAAGAAAAGCCTTACAGAGTTAGTACTAAATCCAAAGCATTAGTTGGATCTAACCATCCCTTACTGAGTTCTGAAGTACACTTCGATAATAATGGTAACAGATCTAGGCGAAAAATGGTCATTGTTCGTACTTTTAATGTGGTACAAAAGCTTTCCACTTTTTCGAGCGTTAACATAGTGATGACTCTTGTAAAAAGAAAGACCATTGTTTTTTCCTATCAAGCCATGACTTTTCACACTCTCCACAAACATTATTATGTGGACAAACAAGGGCCAACAAAGTCTTTTTTCACAAAAAAATACTTGAATTTTTCACGTTTTGGCAAAGTATTTCAACCATTTGGACTTCAAAATGGAGGTTTCCCATAGATTTTATGACACCAGAAGATAGCCCGTGAAAAAATCACACCTCACATATCCACACCTGCAGTCGGCTCATAGTCAATGTTAATATCGCTTAGAAGTCGTGTGCCACTTATAATGCTCTCAAAAAGTATCAAGACTTGATGAATAAGTGTAAACAAAGCAATAACTACAGAACTCAACTACAAATGTGCTGTTGAATACGAAGTGATGTCATAATAGTGAATAGAGGGGATGAAACTTCATATCGAACACCACAATCATTATATCGACCACTTGCTGTAAAAAAAATCATTTATTTGTCTTTTCTATCAGTGATTTTTTCTTTAAATTCTTAAAAAAAATTTGAATACCATAATTAAATCGTACTTTATATATTTTTATCAGAGCCAAAATTGTTATTGATAACAAGAATGGAAAGCTTGATGAAGCGAGGTGAGACATGTTATTACAGTTTTGTGAACCTATGGAAAATAGTATGAAGATAATCATCAATGAAAAAAATTAAATAAAGTAATCAGTTGGCTATATCCATGAGTCGCGAGCTGATTTCATGCGACCACAAACAAAGAGNGAAGCGTATAAATGCATAATTTATGCATTTATACGCTTCTACAATCGTTTTTTTGCTGAAACGCGTGTAAACGCACAAAAACGGCAAAAAATGGGTGTTTTTCGCTCACAGTCGGGAACCGCGATTGTGAGTGAAAAATATTCACTTTTTTTATTTTTAAAACACTTTTTCATGCGTTTAAACGCGTTTTGAAAAAGTTTATCTGCTTGGGTTGCTCTCATCTCGTACTCATGTTCTATAAAAAATAGGTTTCATTATAAACATGGTAAGAAAGAGAAAATTGAAGAGCGAGCGACAGAGAGAAGCATACGTTTTCTCTGAAAGGGCTTCATGAAAGAGTCCCATGATGAGAAAAAATTCTTAGTCGTTAACGAAGAAAAAGTGCACATCTTAGCAGGCAGTAGTGGTTGAAAGAAAAATATATACGTTCGTAAGATCGACGTAAAATCTTTCACTATTTACATAGCAACTGTTGAAATAATAATGAAGAAGAGAAGGTTTTTTTTTTCTGACAGCCATATTCATATGCATTTTGTACATTTTTATTCTGCCACAGAAAGGGTAGCAAAGCATCAGTTTGTTTTATTTCAAACAAAAAAGTTGCATTTATTTCGTTTTCTCCAGTTAAATTGGTAAGAAGTAGGGATCTTACAATTACATTTTCTAGGAGAAAATTAATTGATTTCGAAACATGACCTCATCAACTGAGCCTAAATGGACGTCTAATGATGTATGTACTCTTTTGTTCTATTATTTTTCTCATTTTGTATTTTTTTTCAATATCAATGATAAGTCGGTTCCTTGGCGCACTGCCATAGACCGCTTGAAATTTCAGCAACGAATATGTTCGACGTTCATTCCAAAAGAGTAAGCACGTGTGATTATTTGAAAGTTCTAACAATGATATGCTTTCCTATGACTTAGAACAGACAACCAACGTTGCGTCTGCAATTACGATCACGCTAAATCTGATAAGTCTCAATTGAACAAGGGATGGGACTGGAAAAAGCACACTAAGAAAGAAGATACCAAATGCTATGGGATAATACCCCACTCAAACAGCCCTGTACATTATGCAGTTGTCTAATAAAAAAAGTGATTTTGCTTCTTTTTTATCTTAGTATTTAAGGTGCGAAATCCAAACAGAACTCGACCAACTCTGCTTGGTATTATTGGGTGTGTGGGGTATAGCCGTGCCTGGTCTTATCATGCGAATGTTGGGCGATACAGATTCGACACCGAGCATCAAGTTAGAGAAAGAACTTTTACAAGGCATTTCCGATGCTGCTACTGCATCGGGTAAGCAAAAGCACTAAACAAACTCAAACAACAACACCGTCATATTCTAGATGCATGGATTATCACAAGTGGTTACAAAGAAGAGAGCATTTCAGAACTAGTTGGTGAAGTAGTTTACAAGAGTCGGACGAAAAACCCAGAGATAAACTTCAGTGCCATCGCTGTTGGTAAATGGGGTAACATTCATGAATGTCACAAACTTGAAAGCAGGTTTGACAAATAGATCTTTTAAATAAAGTTCTCGAATATAGCTGGTTGTTTGCTATTTTAATTGTTATCTATGTCTTTTTTCTATCGTATCAGTTTTTTATTATATACTCTTAGGAGTGATGACAATCAGGGGGCAATGCATAAAGGTCATGGACGATACAAACTCGAATCAAATCACACACATTACATTTTTTTTGATGATGGCACATGTGATTCTCTGGATACCGGTGAATTCGCTTCAAAACTTGCTCGAGAAATATCACGTGGTGCAAGACGCAAAAGTCAGCATTTTATTGAGGATACAATTCGTAAATTTTTACAATATATATATATGTTTTTTTAATTTAGTACCATTAATTACTGTTCTAGTCGGCGGTAGCCTTCACGCACTTAAATCGATATGCACTGATTTAGAGAAACTAATTCCAATCGTTATTATCGATGTAAGTCATACTTATTTAAAAAAATAAAAATACTCAACTTTGTTTGAATTACACAGGGAAGTGGACAATTGTCTAATATATTATGCAAATACCTTAAATTGACCGAAAGTGAGTGTAATTTTTTTAGTTTCGTAGTTATCATTTAAGGTCATATGTCAGAAAGCCACTTTTTTACCAGAACAACTGATATCTTTAAAATCTTCACGAAGTATGTGTCTAAGTCTAGAAATGTTGCAGGAAAATTTCCGTTCAACTTATTAATTTATTCCAATAACAACGTTAAACGCACGTGTCTCTGTGAGTCCTAGATTTCTTCCTTCAATCTAATAGTATAAGTTTTCGATCGGTATCAAAGTGCAGGCAACGATTGTCAGAACAACTTAACAAAGCCCCGATTTTTCAAAATTCTCTCTCGTGATGCTCGATACTCGATTTTCTTTTCTAGTATAAAAAAACGAACAGAACCTTTATGCACTGGTGCAAATGTCAGGCTTGGAGTGTGACGAGAAAGACCACAACCACAGTTTCATCCACACTCACACCTTAAACTAAAATGCTATTCCTAGAGAAACCCATGACAGATGTTGATGTTGAAAATCATGTTTATATGTCGTGTCCGTTCGTACAAAAAATTATTTGCAGAGTGTATGAGGGTGTTCTATGCACAAGTTGTCTTGTTCGTGGAGCTTCAAGGAGAAGTTTAAAATACTAAGATAACTGAGACTGGCAAAATATCAATCCAATGATGTGTTGACTCAGCCAGTCTCTGTAAAACTCACAAGCATCATCGTAAAGCCAACGAATCATACTACGTGTGAAAGTAAAAAAATAAAGCTACTTAACCATACATGAATCTTGAAGGCCACAGTTCTTTACAAAAAACTAAAAGTTGTGGGTGGGGTCTTAAGATCTTTGTCATTATAGATGTTTCTAAATCAACAATAAATCAAAATGAGAGTATTATGAATAATGATGAAACAGCTAGTGACAATGAAGATCATATGGATATAGCAATGCTTGATGAAAAGTTTTCGCGGGCTGATGCTAGAAATTCGGGTTCATCGACTCAATGCACGTAAGTTTTAAGAGAAAAAACGATTAATGGTAAATCTACTATTGATATACACAGTTTGAGAGAAGTTTTGCGTCCGCTTGGCAAATATCGTCTCGACTTCGTCAAGGATGTGCGAAACCTTTACAGCATTATTCGACAGCAAGAGTATGAAGCGACAGGCAAAAGATTACCTGTAGGTGAATTATTGAGCTTGGGTGAAGAAAAGGCTCTTGGAAAGTACTTATTCTCATTTGCGACCTGTTTGACATCTCCCGCTCGAGATAGTGTTCATGTTTTCAATATCAATTCATCGAATTCCTTGCGGGAAACAATTTACAATGCTTTCGTCCAAGGTAACTCCAACAACATAATATTATTTTTATAGAACTCAATGTGAAACTATATATTGGGCATGTCAAAAATGACTGTTGTATTATATTTTCTAATTGTACCTCCAATGAATGAATGAGTTCCAAGAATATTCAAAGGAAAGAGCCACTGAATTTTCTCAGTTTTACCAACATTCGAGCCTCACAATAATTCTTTTCTCCTACACGATAGAAAATCATGAAAACTTGATTTTGAGTAAATGACTTTTTTTTTCTTAAATTAAATGTATGAGTTTTAGAAAAAAAATAGAGTTCTCTAACACACATTTTCATTGTTAGCAAGAGACAATCTTTTACAAACAAAGAACAAGTATCGTCCGACTACCGATGCTCAAATGCCTCTAGCACTTCGCTGGAGCATT